ATTAGATTTCTAGAATTAAAGTTGTTGCTGACCTTTAAGAAACTGATAAACGAAACTGAAATCTTTCTTTGTAAATCCTTGAGCGATAATTGCTCTATAAATTTGATGAGCCAAGGATCCAAAAGGAATACTTGCTTCTACCTTAGCCGCGGCAACCTGCGCCAATCCTAAATCCTTGGCCATTAAAGTCACTCCAAAACCACCCTAAAATTAAATCCATTAAATACACCAATAAAGCAAATCTTAACAAAATAAAAGAAATGCAACGTAATTAAGTACCTCGTAATTTTTAGAGCTTGGAACATTGTCGAGGATACCTGGAACAGGATTATACAACTCGGAAGACCAACATCTGCCGGAGCTAGAGTTCACAATATTAGCTAACACCTTGGGATCTAAACCTAACCTAAAATACAATAACCAAATGAAACAGTTATATTTATAGTGTAGTATGAAATACAAACTGTGCGAGTTACTTTTGTCCGAGATTAAATGCTTCAGCTGTACCGATCATGCTAATAGCCAAAAGCATGTTATTACACAATTTTGCTGCTTGGCCCATACCCACGTTTCCACAATGAATAATCTTAGATCCCATGGATTTTAAAAGAGGCTTGGCAAGTTCGAAATTTTCCTTAGAACCTCCAACCATGAATGTTAACGTTCCATCCTTAGCTGCGTTTATACCTAATTGGAGTTAAACGAAATGACATTAACACGTGCTCAAACATATCTTCGCATCGTCCATGAGTATATTCGATCATCTATAACCACATCTAACTTTTTACTATTGTACCTCGCTGGTCACATTATTCAATCATGTTTTAAGTCGCATGTATACATAAAGGATTTTTCTAGATAGATTTCGCTCACAGTATAAATAATACAAGTTGCCTAGATTTCCAATTTTTATGTACGGTAGTAGATTTTATTTTCGAGACAAGAAATTGTTTATAGTTCAAGTAAACAGATTACGTCTATTAAACAGTTATAACATCCGATTGAATGTGTTTTATTAATATGTAATCTTGGGCAGAAACTTGACAGAAATATAGTATAGAACGCGAATTTCAAGTCGTTTAAATAGATAGAAAGAGAAAAAGCAAAAAGGACGCAAGCAAGAAAGAAAGATGTGGGATATACTCTATAATGGTAGATGTGGAGCATCTATGTGCAACAATAGGTACTATTTTCTCTGCATCTAACTGTAGAGTGTAAACACGTTGTGGATAAAACCAGCTTAAGAATTATTAATACTTTATTATTTTTTTCCAGGTGAACGGAGTCGCTTGCGACTCGTGGTTCCTTGGAGACTTTTGTTCCTTACGATGAACGAAGAACGTTGCAATAAAAAAATTTTGATCTTAAAAATCATACCCAAATTCAATTTTCCACGAACTTTTCTTTCAAATTTTCATCGATTCAGAAGTGTAGATTTACTCCATGCTGATTTATATACGTTATTCACTTTTCATATACTCTGTCCTGTTTCCTCGTGCACTTTGAAACTTTTATTAATGCATATGAATTTCACGATCTATTTAGAATTACCTCCAGATACTGGACTGTCTATAAAATTAACGCTCATTTTTTCAGCCTCCTTCGCCAAGATTTGAGATACAAACGGATCTATTGTGCTGCTGTCGATCAGCAGAGTGTCTCTTTTTGCTGAACTGAAAGTACGAAAAGAGAAAAAAGAGACTCGGGTATTTCTTTTTTAAAGATAATACGCTTGATAAATTGAGAGGAGGATACTTATTTACCTCAATAAACCATTTTTAATGTTATAAACGTCCAGAACATCTTGATTAGATGGCAACATCGAAACGACTACTTCGACGTCTTTTACCACTTCAGTAGGATCCGAAGCTCTGTCAGCACCTACCTCTGTCAAATTCGACACAGCTGATTCGTTCACATCAAAGACAACTAGTTTGTGACCCTGTAACATGATATAAATCAATACATTCGATTTTAAATGAATCTTTAGAAAAACATTATTTGATTGCAAGTATGCATATATGGAAAATTTCAGCTTTTTCAAGTGGATTTTTCTTTTGTAAATGAACATAATACAGAAAAAATGTAGGAAATATCTATAGTAAAGTTTCGTAATTGTTATATAATTACTTGTTACATAATTTAATAGGTAAAGCCATTTTCCATTTATGCCTTATTTCTTCGTTTCGCTTATTTTTCACAAAATTACGAATTTGCATAAATATAATAATGAATAATTTACGTTTCGTAGAATATTTCTCGCCATGTGACCACCCATGTTGCCCAAACCGATGAAACCGACTCGAGAAAAACATCGTTTCCCTGCATCACATGTAAGAAAATAAAAATATAAGGTAAATATTGATTTCTTATTGTCATCGAATATTTTTACTGTAAGATAAACAACCTGCACTAACACAGATAACAAACTTCTGCAATGAAGTAAAAATACTCATTGTAAAAATGCTTATATCACAGTACGTTAAGAGAATTGATAGTTATCATTGAATTCTGTCATTATACAATATTATCATGCACGATGGTCATATAAACAACTAACTATATCACGAAACATCACATGTATTCGAAAAGTATAGCACTGCAAACAAGGTATAATATTTTCGTAGGTAAAGTTCAGTTTTCGAGTATTCGGCACAAGATTCAACGAGAAACTAACCAAACAGCTTATGAATGATGTTTACCATAAACGTGTTATCGACATGAGTTCAGTCTAACCTTATCGTATAGATAAATATTTTTTTGTTAGCTGTGTTGTACTAGAAAAAATATACATAGCTACTATATTATTATAATATGCCTTTTAAAGACACTGTATGTATTGCGTAACGAAAATAATCTAACAACGAAAATGGAAATTACTTTCTCGTAGGTCGGTTTAATGTTGCGTCAAGTTCATGCCTTGTCGTTTGTCATTTAAAAAGTAATTGTATGCTGTTTTATATACGTATTTATTTATTTCAAACGAGTGAAAGAAATGAAAATATACCTTCTTTGTTATTAGGCAATCATCTTTTTCCTGGTAGTGCATTCAAATATCTACTTGATAACGAACAAAATTTATTTAATTATGAAGATGAAAACTTTAAAACGATTCGTTATAAAAGAACTCTGCAGTATGGTTTTTTATTTTAGGAGATAAGCATAAAGTCCCAAAGGTGCCAAAGGCAGGTGATTAAATTTGCATGATGTTGTTCAGAATCCGATGTACTCAAAACATGGGCATAAAAGGAATTAGAAACAAGCACGTATTTCACGTATTACGTTATATTCCGCCGCATTACCATCTATTTTATCGAAATTTTTCTACAATAAATCCAGAAGTGCATGCATCGGCCTCAAAAGTAAATCAAACTTTGATGCGGGGAATAACAATACAGTGATAATTCGGACAAATATATAGATTGTCTTATTCAGATTTTTCTATCGATACTTGACATGCGACATAAGTTTTTGATGCTATCTGATTTTTTTTAAAGAACCATAACGATTTTCTTCTGTTTTTGCCGTAATTAATTTCATTAGTGTTTTATTGCTACTTGCGATGTAAATCGTTCCAGCTTTGTTGATGTTTGCACGTGTGTGTGTGTGTTTGTGCCGACTAAGAACTAAGTGGTTCGAAGGCCACCCTCGTTCGAAAAAAACACTGTATGTGGTTGACCATTTAATAGAAATATTTACAGAATACTAGGAGCTGTCCTGTAATCGTGCCTCACGTTGTGTGTAATTATTCTGTATAAACTATCTTGCGCGAGTGTTCTATCAGTTCGATGTACAGATGATTCTAACATAAGAAATTTCAACCGTTCGAGTCGTTCGGACTGCCTTGTATGTTTTATAGATTCTAACGACGAATAGGAGGAAAAAATGGCTTTGTTCCTTCCTTCCACAACCAATTTCAGGAGGATGGAAGTAGGGTGCAAGCGATATTGTATTTGATAGATGGCGTTTTGACAGCTTAGGGAATTTACATGGTTTCGTTTGCTCATGGTCACTGAGTATCGTTACGGTAACTTATACGTTTATAGCAAATGCACCGCAGGTACTTGGAGATCCAATAACCAAAGGTTGGGAGCTTAGTACACTAAAACAGAAATATTAATAGTAACCTTGTCGATTTCTACCTGCAAGTCATGCTTGTTGTAATAATCAGTATGTTATCTTATCATTTCCGATAGAATAAACAATAAGTAATAACAATAAATTACAACAAAAAAAATCAATATCATTTCCTGTATCTTTACCAGTGCCAGTACTATCATTCTTGCATATCTAATTGAAGAAAAACTTTGCTTATCTCGAATTTAATACTAATGACCTTACAGTAATTCGCTTCTAAACCTTCATATACAAAATTTATTGTCATTTAATAGTACTCTCATACAATTAAAAAAATTTGCTATTTTGTAAATGAAATGTAGAATACGATAAAAAGAATTTCATTGAAAAACATCTGGAAGAAAAAGGAGATAATATCTTATACGATCCATGCATAACATATTGCTTAGCACCGTACCTTTTATTGCTTTTTACAGAGTAAAAAGTCATGGACATTCTTAATAGCTTCACGATAACATGTTTAATGATACAGATATATGTAGCTATCGATCAATATTTAATCGTTCTAGAATTAAATTTTTCCTAAACCCTGGAAAAAATTTTTGGTCAGTTGGGAGCTCATAGTAAAATCTTGTCATATTTTTCGACTTTTATGGATAATAATATATTCTACTATCGGGTCGGCAACTAAGTAATTATGGATTTTGTCATTAGGTGGCAGTGACAAAATCCGCAATCACTTAGCTGCTAACCCAATAGTTAGAAGTAAGTCACATCATAGTAAAAATAAACTTACTATTGTATGACGATTTATCATTCTTGCTATGAATCTTCAACTATTAATATATTAATAATATACGAAGAAGACAAAATTTTATTATTAATTTAAATTTCAGTTTTATCGAAAACAAATACATTTATCTCGTGTAATCTAATACATTTAATCTAATATGTTTAATTAGTTGACGGTTAATTAGTTGTTGGAATGCAATTAAACAACGTATAACAATTCAGAATTTACTTTCACCTTTAAAAACATCGTTCTATTTTATATATATTTCATGAACAATGCGCAAGATATGAAAAACAAAGAAATGCCGCGACAGAGATAACAAAGAATATTCCTCATACCTGATATTTAATGTTATTTTGTTAGATTATCTTCTCACACACAAGACATCGATGAATACTTAAAACATCGTCAATTAAACATCAACGAAGCTATAAGCTTTGAAACTCATTTATAATTATGTGTTTTGTGTCCACCATGAGTTGTAATTCTGTTTACACACTTTTTTATCGTCGTTTTTATCTGCCGTCAAACCACACCCTTAATTTACGTTTGTGTACAATAGACCACTCAAATTGCACGTATCGTTGTGTTCAGAAGCTTGTGTATATATTTACGTCATCCTCTACGTCGAATCGTATTTCCGGCAACCTAAGAGGAGGTTACAGTCAGGCTGGCCCTACGTGGACACAGAGAACTTGGCAAAAAAAGGAGACGACGCTGCACTACACGGAAAACACACGATTTGGAGATTAAACAAAGGGTTTCCTTGGCTCGCGAAAAGATTTGTGCTTCCTCGAGAAACGCCATGATTAACTCTTAACGCTCCGACTTTTAATTGTGAATATCGACCGGCAACTCCAACTCTCATTCTCATCATACTTCGATTTGCAAGTTTTTAAATATCAAATTTTAAAGGGTAGAGCGCCGCACATCGGTGGTGCTAGAGAGGCACATTTGTAGAGTTAAGGTTAAGTTGTGCGCGAAATAAATTAAATGGCGGGAATGCCTCCGTATAAATAATCGTACGAGTTCATTATGAAGATATATTCGTTGATTTACACATTTGTAGCGTATATTTTTATAGTGATGGCTGATAGAAGAAATATCATCTTATCGAAGGGAAAGTCGTGGATTGCAGATGAGTATTTTACGAAACTTATCAAGTTGTCGTTTACTTCTTCTGGATGCTGCAACGTTTTCTTAAGTGGTTAGTAAAAATAAATTATGGGTTTTATTTACGTTTCTTTACTTAAATTACTTAAAAGTTATGAATATAATTTAAAATTATGGAATTTTATTTAGATACGACTGAAGATTCGGAAACATTGTTCAGTCAATTCAGAAGCATCTATCCATCCAATTACCTCTTGAAATCGAACACGCACGACTGCCACGAATTCTTTTTGTTGGGATCAAGTGAAGAAGGAATCATGGAGTCTATAAAAAAGTAAAATAAGAGAATCATGTTGAGTGTATAAAATCTGTTCCGTTTTTAATAAAAATGTAACTGTTTCATTATAGAATACCGTTGCTACAGTGGAATACAGAGATTCTGATTATAGTGAATAACGATATTTCCAATGATTCTCGTCTATTGAATAATTCTATGTACGGAATTGCAAACATAAATATTGTCTCTATGTCGGGAATGTGGATACTATCGAAAGACTACATAAAACCGCGAGTCTTTACTAAAGTTGACAGGTAATAAATAAATGGTGATAAATAATACAAATTACGATAGAACTCCATTTACTAAAAAGAAATGTTAATTAATTCCTATTATGTAAATGAACCACAATAGCTAATAGAACGAATGAATAGATGTATAAAATAAGATGTATTTATATAACAGCAATTACAAAAACAAACAGTTTTACCTAAATGAAGTTCTACCATAAGAAGAAATTGTAAATATCATTTCAATGTGTGGCATTATCATCTTCTTTGTTAAAATGCAAAGATACAAGGAAATCCAGATAAACGACAAGGTAAACTTTCGTGGTAGAGAATTACAAGTCTGCAGCGATTATATTCCCCCTATGACGTACTTAAACCATACAATTCAAAAAACGATTAATGGTGTACAAGCAGAAGTATACACAATGGATAGCGGTATATAAATAAATGAATCACATAATTTAATGCAACCTTTGCCATAAGAGCTGTAAGATATATTTTTAAAATACAGATTTGGATTGGGACGGTATCGAAATGCAGTTGTTTCTAATAATGGCGGAGAAATTAAATTTCACGTGGACTTTGAGAAAACCAGAGGGAAACTACACGTAAATATAATGAATATAATCATTCTTGTTTTCATTAGTTCTTTGAATTATTTGTTATTGTTCATTAAAATGAAAAATTGTATTAATTTAGCTTTAATTTGCTTTTAACTTCATCTTAATTTGTTAGATATGGCAAACGAATCAACGACACATATTGGACGGGCGGTATAATGCAAATGATACGTGATCAAAAGGTACACTAATTTATTTATTATAGAAAATTAGTTAAAAATCTTTTTATATTTATCCTGTGTTTCTGCAGGTAGATTTAGCGTTCGCCAGTATTTGGCTAATATTGGATCAAGAAACATTCGTACAGTTATCCGAACCTTGGTATCAACTACATATACATTTTTTGGTACCTCGTCCTCATCGAACCACAGGCTTTTTGGCGCTCAAAAGACCATTCTCAGAAGAAGTTTGGCTCTTACTCTTATCTGTATTGCTTCTACACAGCTTCTATACATATGTTCGGACTTGGATTGATCCCAAATTTCCAAAACGTAAGGAATCATAAAAAATACTTTTTGCCATATATTTCATCGTCATATTATCATCTTATAGATTCCAAAATACTATAATTCTTCAATCATGTTCTTTCATTACATATATGTATATATAAATATATATAATATATATTTATATTTATACAAACCATTATTGATAATACTATCCCTTTGCGGACGGGACAGTTCGAAGTCAACCGTACCGTAGGGCCAAGCTGCTGCCGCGATAGTCAGTAAAATTGCCAGCGCACATTTTTGCATAGACGCGATTCTCCACAGGATAAATAAAATGACATGCATGTGAGTCTTTTATATACACGCATATATGAAATATATGAATTTCTCGACCATAGCGAAGCGTTTACGTGGGGCACATATATGAATCTTCTGACTCTATCAGTTGTTTTCGTCAAACGCATATATGAGTTCCTCAGCCAAATTGATGGTTTATGCAGAACGCATATATGCGGCGGTAATCCACAAAGGGCTATATCATTTATACAAACCATTATTGATAATACCATATAATCCATTTTTGATAATCTACATCATTGAATAAAGAAATAATAAACATACTCAGGAGTCAAGAAAGAGTGAGTTTCTAAAATAATCTTTTCAGGATATCGTAATTTTCTAATTATCCTAATCGATCTGATCGGCTGTGTACTAAGCATGTCGGTACCGAAGAGTGTCGGAACCACGATGAACAAACTACAGATTCTTTTCTGGCAGATTGCGGGCTGGTTAATAATTACAGCTTATTGCAGTAGCCTTGCAGCTAGACTTGCGAGTTCAGGCTACGAGGACAGGTAACACAGAATCGAAGTGTCTAATTATCAGACCACTACTATAGTTTCGCTTTAACTGGTCTCTGCTTTTACTAATCGCATCTGTTTTTGTTGAAGTAGAAATAATTGCTCTACACATCAGTATATGATTTTGATAATATTATTTAATATGCAAAGTAAGTACGTAATTATGGAAGTACGTTATATATACTACAACCAGAAGTGTTAGGATACACACTCTATATATACACACAAACACACAACATATAAGGTTGCAAAGTGTTCGGCAACAGGTGTAAACAAATTTAATGGATTATTCTTGAATCTAAGATAAGATAAAAATCAAGAATAAAAAAATTTGTTTTTTAATTATTGGCAATTAAAAATTAGTCGAAATATCCCTGTACGCGAACAAACCTCCTTACACGAACGAAAGTAGCGGGGTGCGCAAAAATCCTCAAATCGAACGATACATAGACAACAGCTTACCTTACGTAAGTCGTAGAGAAGAAAATTATAACATTTCAAGCCATAAATCATCCTGCACGACGTTTTGTAAGAAAGAACGTAGATTATACATCATGCATGCCTACTCATTAAACTGCATAACAGCATATCAAAAACCGCCTGATGGAATTTTTATATATATCTCTATATATCTAATGTATATCTATACATCTCTAATAACAGCACATATAAACAATGTTTATACAATTTTCATACACGTGCCGCGACCATGTATGTATACACTAGGTTAGATTTATTGCAAACTTTACTAAATTTCATAAGAAGCAAATGAGGATGTCCACTGTGCAGATAAATTTAAATAAAAAATCATAATAAATATTTTTAGGATCGATACCATCGAACAATTTGTTCAAGCAAATTTGCAATGGGGAAAAACGGGTCAACCACCTCCGTTCGCCGATTTCTTCGACCTCACGGTACGTCATTTCAATCAAAATGATAATTTCCCAACATTCACATTAAAAAAGAAAATACATTTGATTTAACTAGAATCCACATGCAGCGCAACTGCCAAATAGATATCGTCAAGCACAAAATAGTACACAGTTAAGACAATTTATTATGCAAGGTAATTACGCTATTCCAGGAAGAATTATAGACACCGTTTTTTTTCCAACCGACTATATATCAAACGAAGACTTAAAGGTATCTATGCATAACTATATTCCACATATGTTTCATACATGTGTTGAAAAAGAATATTCAAGTTAAAAATAATATAGTTTATAATAGAATTACAGATTGATGAGAGAACCTGTGGGACACTTTTATGCTGTTTTTGCCGTTCAACCATGGCTTCTGAAACCCATAAACAGGGTAAATTACGATTCTCAGTATCAAAACTCTACATAAATGAATATGGCAGGAGAAAAACATGATGAGTGCAATTTCTTTAATTTTTTTGTTTTAACATCTCTCCACAAATTAAATAGGAAAATGTTAATATAACATAATTGGAAATGGAAATAATTTGATAGGTACAAAGGTGGACAAAATTTCTTTCAAAATTATTGGTAATAATTGAAGTCAACGAATTTTAATGCAAGCGATATTGTAACATTTTTAATACTGTAATTGTTTTTTCGACCAATCGCGGGGAGACGAGCTCGCGAGGAGGGACATCAACGAGAGTCGTAAATTCCCGTTACGATTATAGCAATCGACACCGCGAATTGACCGATCCCCTGATTTCCATTAAGATAATAGTGGTGGTTGAATTAGTATAACACTGTGATTCACAGAATTATGAAGTTTTATTTCCAACACTTAAGTTACACTGTTGAGTAGATATAATTCCTTGATGACAACTTGTCGCCCGAAGGTAAGATAGATATGCACGCTAGAGCAAGGTTCTTGGACTTGAACTTCGTACGTTAATGGACGTAGCACTAGAGGATACTTAGTAGAGGACGTGAGTGTTCGTGCTCAGGTGTTAGATTTGGACTTAGTTGGTGAGTTTTAGTGATTGGTGTGTCTAGCGCACGGGACCATCGGATTTGTTCGTGACGATTTTGGCTAAGAGAATGAGGGAAATGGGCTTCGTTATTAATTGGTTAAACGAAGGCTGGCGGACTAGGAAGGGTCTGTGCTGTCCTCGATAGAAAGTTGTTATTAGGAAGCATTGTACGCGGGAAAACCCAACTTTCCTTTGTCAAGCCGTAGTAAACAATATTCTTTAGAAGGTGATTTAGAAAAGATATTTGTTCTGTCTGCAGGACCTTAGCAAGCAAATTAATGGGATTTATGACGGGGGCTTAAAGTTATTGAGGGTATGCCGTAACAAGGAGCGAAAGTCTGGTGTCCGTCGGGCCCGCGGTGTATGACCTGGTCCAGGTAGAGAGTCGCCAGGCGTAACAGTAATATTATGACGAAGAATATTTTGAAGATCGTGAAGAAAATGGAAAACATATGTTTAGCTTCAAAATCGAATATAACTCTCACCCAAAAGTCTTACGTAAGGCATGATATTCATATGAAAAAGGAAGCATACATATATAAGATATCAAAATTATAGAAATTAGGATTACTAGTGGTTTCTATCCTATATGATAAATTTATTGATAGATGGATTTATTTACGGTGGTTTAAACAGGAAACGATGGTTATTTAATATGAGCTTAATGCAGTAATGTGATATAACTAAGTTAATTCACAACTGACAATTAACAATTAATAACTCATAACAATTCGGCAACTAATGATTAACCAAGCCGCAATTCTCTCTCTCTCTCGACTCAACTGACGACTCGCAACAAATGAACTCCTCGCAACTAGGCTCTCAATTAACAACTGACTACTAATCGATTTTCTTCCTCAAGCCTCTCTTTGTCATCCTCTCGTATCTCCATTATGCACGTGTTGCGTAATCGTCCACGATTATGGTCACACACGTCTTCTTCCGGGTATTATTAGACGGAAGGACCGAGGACATTGATAGACCGCTCGACTCATTGAAATTTCCTGTCCCTTTTGACATTTAGGCTTTCTCGCAACACTGTTCATAGTTCACCCGATATTTTTTAGATAATCCACGATACTACACATATATGTACGTTACAGTACTGATGTATTGATAATTTTATTTAAAACATATGTGTAATCTGAAATTCATGATCTACAGTAAATACCCAAGTTTTTGTAAAAGTAAGGAATATCCTAAGATATTTATGAAGACGATTGTATAAAAACAAGTTTGATAATACGGAATTGATTGACGGTATAGTGAATTGCAAAACTATTTTCTATTCTATTCTATTTTATTATTTATAATTTTATATTATTATTTGTAAGTTTAGTTTATTTACAGATATTATATGAAATAAAAATATTACGTAAAATATACCAATATTATATATGCTAATATTATTCTACATAATTTGTTTATCTCATGTAGTATCTATAAATTTTAACGATTTTTTTACTCTGTATCTCATAAATATGTATCTATAATAATTTCCATTTTCTTCTTCTGTATACAGATCATTCTCTGGTTAAAGGAAACCGGTATCGTTATTTGGCATTTGCGCGATATTATTCGCAGACGGGATAACTATAATTTACGCGAGGTTCTCGTGGAGCACGATAAGTACGACGGACACGTGCAAGTTCTCGGATTGATGCCGCTCGGCGCTGGATTCTCCTTGTTACTCGTTGGCATGTCGATTGCAACGTTTGTATTTTACTTGGAGTTGAGACGCACTGCTAAAACTACCTCTGTTAACAATCGTCTTCGCGATATCGATAAAAAACACGATGCATAAAAATTCGATTTCACAGATGACGCAATCATAAACATACAATAATGTTATATAATTGCTAGATCATTGTACAAATAAAGCAATCTCGTCATCAAGTTGTTGACTATACTAATCTTTACAAAAATGTGAAATATCTCAGCATTAACAATTTGAGGACGAGATTTTGTTGTCATTTCTCGACGAAATATGTATTATTGCAATTTGTACGTTTAAGAATTTAGAAAGAACAAAGACTCTTAAAAGTTTAGAAAGTAAATTGTAATCTAGACTCCGAAATATTGCACAACAATAACCGCTGAATGTCATTCATGGAACACTGAACATCGTGTATACATATGTGGTATGCAAGCACAACCAACGTAGAAATATAGTGTGATCGTGTAGTAGCATAGTCGTGATTTGAATACATCTGCTTACTATTGATTCCAATAGAATAAAATAGATAATACACAGCTCAATAAAATAATATAAAATAAAAAATGTTTTGCGTCTATTATTTCCTTATAAAACGAAAGAAACTTTTGAAATTACATCAGCACGATAGTAAAAACGAATCTGAGTATGTATAAAGAAATTACAAGATATTAATATATAAGTTAGAAGATTTAGTGAGATCATTATTGGAATTTGTTTTGTTCTAAGGAATAAAAATGTGAGAACTTTTGTTAGTAATTTATGATGCTCATCCTCGCGATCTAAAGGTTAATTTAGAAAACGCGAAATTTCCTTTAATATTTATAATAGTATACTTTATACTATTACAAAGCTGATCGTCAACGCTCGAGGGTCAGCCTGCTAAGTTCCATGACTTACCTAATATATAGTACTAAGAATCCTTCATATTTCAAACGCATGAAAGTGCAATAAATGATGCTTTGTGAGCGAATATGCTGATTGGTCATTTTCTTGCGTTGGGTGAAAACCAATCAGCGTCCGTATTTCGGAATCTCCGCTTCAGACTATATTAGAGCTCGACATGGTATCTGCAGTTTCGTTTATGTCGTTCAACCGCGAACATCAACTAGGAAATTATTACATATTCGAGAGAGAGAGAAAGTCTCTTTATTAGAAACAATTGATATAATCTTGTTCGTGATTTCGAGTCAATAATATCTTCTCCACCAGAGTAAGTTATAAATAATTAATTCTCTTAACCTTTCGAGAGAAGGGTTTCATATAGTCTGATCTTTACGGTAGCATGCCCACTGGAAGTAGAGCATTTGAAAAAATAGCAGCCCCACCTGCTTATCCTGATTCATCAACATCTCAAAATATTCGTGGAGACAAAATCGTTCCATTAGTCGCAACGATCAGTTGACCGCCTTCCCAACCATACCCGACTCATCAACGTCTCCAATTATTTGTACCATTACGTGGAGTGAAGTATCGTTCGTCAGTGAACAGTCACACGGGGGTTTTTCAATTGTAAGCAGCATCGATATGTGTTCGCGGACAAGTATGATATCGTTAATCATTCGTAATGTTCCATCGTATATCGCGTCGCATCTGTTTCGTAACGTATGATCATACACATTCGTAAGCATTCGTAAATGTCATTTTAACCGAGAAGGCTACATTTTCAGACTGGTTTCAAGTTTCAAATTTTATCAATGTAATTATGACAGTCGTATGTCATTCCAGTGTTGATAGCGCTAGCTTCAAAAAACGTGTACGAATACTTCTGCAATTGTGTTCGAAATATTAGATGATCGTGATAAATTTTGGTGATACAGATGCAATATAGGTGATATAGGCATTATTAGACAACAATCAACAGTCTCTTACGTTTTGATTTTTGAGAGTTATCAATCACAAGTTACTCAGAAACTACATTTATAAATCAACAATGCGATTACGAAATCAGTTCCGTTGATGGAAGTATTAGTTCAACATCGCGCTGCATTTTAATAGTATTATATCCATAAAACTAAGCAGTACGCTAACTGACAATGACCGGTTTATAAAGTACGGGATAAGAATTGTTATATAGATTTAACGACACGGACGGTGAAGTACAATAAAGCTGCGCGTGCAATACGACGTAGAACAAGAGAAAAGTAATCTTCATTGTCTGATAATTTATGTAACGAGTTACGAGATTTTTGTACAGTGTCCCAGTTTTTTTAGGAAAATGATATTAGCATATCGTACAAATGAAAATAAGAAAAAGATGTTGCATAACTATAGACACAAAAGTGCTTTAATAAAAAGATTAGAACGAAAGTAACTGGTCAATTTTCGTTTAATGTAGGTCTATGTCGATTGTATTTATCTAATCTGTTTACTCAAGTTATGTTTATAGATTGAGATTGTGATAATATGACTGGTATTAACACTAACAACATTGACAGTTATTAAGTTGTATGATCTCGTATTAACATGCTACGAGAGTTTCCCAATAGAAAATATGCCAATATTTATTTTATTTGCGGTTTCACACATGTAAATGCTTTACCTGCTGTACGGAAATATCGACGAAGACTTCTCAATAGTAACATACAGTTTAGGAGAGTTCATGGCCGATTATGTGAAAGCGGATCGTTCCATTGTGTAAAGTAAAAGCAACGATATGTAAATGAACGTGACGAAAATCGAAATCCAAGGATTTTGAAAGTTTGTGATGATAATACGCTACAGAGAAAGTATTCATCGAGCTTTTTATAAACTAAGAATACTCACAGCTACTATTTGGCGAACGCTGCCTAGTAATTACATTGCGTAACAGAAACTTTCGATCATTGATTATGGAAAGAGCCAAAATCGCGTGTTCTCCTTGAAAATAATAATTTCTAATTAAACATTCAAGAAGGTATTTTTAATACGCGCAATAACCATTAAATCCACACTCTGTTCGAAAAAGAGCATATTAACGCTAATTCAAATTTAATATGTTGGAAGGAATGTGTAACAATAAAATATTTACTTGGGCCTTACTTCCTACAACAGCGATTAACTGCACATACTTTCTTGAATCTTTTGCAAGATGAATTTGATCCAGAATTGGCAGGAAACATGCCACTATTTTTTCGTTTTAAATTTATGGATACAATTAGATAGTTGTGCAACACATTATGTTGTGGAAATGTGGTTAAACGAGAATAATTCTCACAAATAAATAAGTCAAAGAGAACCAGTTACTTGACCTCCAAACTTCTCAGACATTACACTTGGTTTTTGCTTATACGAAACAATGAAAGGCCTACCAGATAAAACTTAATTCACGTGAAGAGTTAACGCAAAGAATTTTATAGAAATTATAGAAAACCAAGAAAATATTCGCAATGTAGCAGATTCAATTTTTTATAGACGTCGATTTTGTATTAATAAGAATGGGCGATACTATGAAATGGAGCTAATGAAAATAAATATTATCTGTTGTTATTTCGTATCTTGTAATTTTTTTAACTAAGCTCTTCAACTTAGGCTTATATAACATCTTTTTCTTATCTTCACTCGTAATAAAATATGTTGATATCGTCTTGTTGAAATAATCTGCGACACTTTGTATATTGTAGATTTAAATAAAATAGAACCTGTAACGAAGCGTTAAAATACAGTGAAAACAGTGCCGTGTTGAACGCTGTAATTTTCTATGCGAAATCTTTAATTCTGACATTATTTCAAAGAGAACGTTTTATTTAGCGAAGAACAATGAAGACTAAGAAACACATCAACGACGGTAAATATTTATTTAAATACTTGTGTATTTGTTTTTTCTTTTTTTTTTTTTTTTAATTGTATAAGTAATACATTCCTTTCATATCAACACAATGAAAGTGGATTAACCTTATTGACATTAATGTGGATCAACCTTATTGTTGAGATGACAAATTTTTATCTGCTACTTTAGAAACTCATAATTACTAAATGTTCGTACCTGTTAGCTCAACCGGCAACAGTGGACGAGCATTTTCAACTGATCTTGCACGATAGGGAAATTATTGATCATGACTTCGTAAAAGTGACACCGGATGATCTACCTGAGTGGTTCGATGAAAAGTTATTCAAAATGTGAGTAGAAAATTAAAATAAATAATAAAATTTCCCTCGAAGTGTAAGTGATTGTGACAAGCAAAGAAAACACATAAATAATTAATGAAAATTATAATTTTAGAGGCCAGGAATATTATAACGGAAATTTACTAGGATTTGGAGCTGCACTTGCGTCAGGCCTGACGGTGATATTAGCCGTTCCAGATATACTCGAGGTAATTTACATACTAACGCGTTTTAATTTAGATGGAAAATCAATTAGTTTTTTCTACATCAACAGCACAAGAAAGTGTCAATTAGAGTAAATTATTCAGATTTTAATCACAACCTATAATTAAATACCTAACCTCTCTATAATTCTATTTTTTGGAGATTCTGCGTTGTCAAATCTAAAAATATTCTTGCAAATCAAATATTCTTTCAAAATCCGCATATTCGACCAAAGTAACCAACGAGAACATCATAAAACCAAAATAGAAATGATAATTACTGTGTTGTTCAAGTAAGGAATATATTTTTATTTTCAAGGTCCTTCTTTTCACCAGGCAAAATGCCACGGTCAACTCGTCTTACAAGCGATTCTCCCAAACGCTGCTACTCATGTACGCGCTCTTTCACTCGGACATGCTCGATCCAAATTCGAAGTGAGTTTCAAAACATTCCATTAAATATCGCATAACAATATTCGATGGAACCTGTGATATTAAATCTGCTTGAAACACTCCTATTGAAGATGGTTCAGTGCGCTGAACGCAATTCGACAAAAACACGCGAAGGTCAGTAAAAAGCGTGTTAAGCAGAATCTCCATGGGATATACCAGAAGGACATGGCGATCACGCAATTCGGTTTCTTAGGGTACGTCTTTGTGTGTCCCGAGAAAATTGGACTGGCGTACGCTACTGAGGAGCAGAAGATAGGTTTTAATCATTTTTGGCAAGTGACGGGTCACCTATTGGGTGTTAGCGACAGGTAATAGGTTTATAAAATATGCAAAGCAAAACTGGAAATTCCATGATAAGAAATGGCTCCAATTGTTGCGATCTTTTTAGGATAAATATTTGTAGAAGAACGGTGGAGGAAACGATAGAACTATGTAGAAGAATCCAAAATGAAATATTGGTAAAACATTTAGAAAATCCGCGTCCAGAATTTTTACGGATGATGACAAATATAACGCATGGATTGTGGTACGTCGATTTGTCAATAAACGAGGACGCTTTCCTTGCTCTCGCATACGATCTAACGGGAATAAAATGTTAGTACATTTAAGTATATTTTATTTACTTTTATTAGAAAGGCGATACTGAGCTAATTTTCTTTTTTAGATATAAAGCCCATTGGCTGGTACTCTTATTTGAACCAAAAGACTCGTGAATTGATATTACAATCATGTAGTAAGTAATTGCTTTTTGCTAGAAAAAGGAATTAAAAAGTATGTAGAAATTATAGAATAATAACAGCATAAAATACGTCAGATTCAATCGATTTTGCTTATAAATCGATCTTGAAATTTAAATATTAAGTTGCGTAATATGTCCTGTCGCGATTCTTTAAATTCTTAAATACATGTACTTACTCAGTAGTTCGTGCGGAACCTACACATCGCATTTGTCCATCATACCAAGTTTTTTTAAATGCAATGTAATCGATTTGTGTGAAATGTGTGATATATCGGTAATCTCTCTTGTTGAACGTCTTAGATTTTGTCCAATTAAACTTGCTATTTTATTCATACTAATTGTTATCGGTCTGCCACTTCGTTTTCGATCTTCCAAGTTGTAGCCTCTATTATTATATTTTCTAATTCGTCTTTAAGTAATACGTTTGTTATCGCCATTATTATCACCATAAATATCTTTTCTTTAGTTATTCCGCAATCTCTTTCCTAAAAATAAAAAGCCATCAAATGCTGGAAATGAATACATTTCAAAGATGCACTTTTCTATATCAAAACTAAAGAAGAACTAATCGATACTGCAGATAAAATACTTGCAAAGCACACTTAACTCAATATCTTTATGCATCCCAACTGTTATAAGCAACAACTCCAGATAACTATTACACAGGACTATTACATGGCTTATAATTATCTAAAATAAAAGATTTCGTACATTCCTATTCGATACTTTTTTAATAAAATTGTTTTACAGATATACCGTTCATTGGCTGGGTGATACGACAAATATTCAATTTAATACTCGCAGTGTCTTACTGGATACTAGAATATCATCCACTGATACCAATATTAGCATTTGGGAGAAATAATGCAAAACTTTGTCTGTATTCAAAAAATTAATATTATTATAATTATTGTAACATAGAAGATGTTCAGCAACAGGTGTAAACAAATTGAATCAGTTATTTGTGAAACTAAAATAAGATGGAAATCGAAACTGACCAAATTGCATTTTTGACTTTGTTCTTTAATTATTGACGATTAAAAATTAGTCGAGATATCCCTGTGTGTGAGCAAACCTCCTTACATAATGAAAGTAGATTAGCCTAAGCAGCGGGTTGCACAGGAAACCTCAAATCGAACGATACATGAGTAGCGTTCTCACATATCTCACATAAGAAGAAAATTATGATATTTGAAGACGTAATATGCACGATGCTTTGTAAGAAAAATCGTAGATTTAACATTATACCTACTTACTTATTAAAATCCATAACGGCATATCGAAAACCGCCTCATGGAATTTTCGAGTAGGGAGCATTAATGTTTCCTCTAATCCTTTGGCTCCATAAATAATTAATAAATAATAGCACATGTACATAATGGTTATACGAATTTCTGTGCGATTTTTCTGTGGATACCCACTGTCAGTACGATCGCGGAGTGTGTGTAAAATTTATATAATGATCATTCTTTACATTATATATACTATATATTAATATATAATATTATTGATATTAAATAATAAAATGGAAACATGTTTTAAATGGTGGTATATTTGATAAATTCAATAATTATAAAAATATATAATCCATGTTGATCTACCAGATTAAAATTGCCTATTTATTGAAATTTCGAACGAAGTACGATTTAAATGTCTATAATTATTTTACTTCTGAAACGAGTTCGTTCAGAAATGAGTAATATCGTATATACAAACATATATATTTACATAAAATACATGTATTTATCTGCGGTAGCAACTTTATTCTATGTATGTATACTGTATCGATAATGTCGCATGTGACAGGAAAATGATAAGAAATCATCTAACTGTCGAAATAATGTAACACGAAAAAGAATTACATGCACATCTATCCTATGCGTTGTCTATACCTGGATGTACCTTATCGATGTACATATCTATTGCTTAATCATCAAGTGCTTCACAGAATTGTATTATCTATAGTCGATACCACTAGATTTGCGACCGATAATGAAACGAGTTATGATAATAATACTGATCACCAGAGTTCGTTGTGTGTCACATAACGTTAACTAAATATTTAAATGGTAATAAATGATTGATTAGAAATTCATTAACACAATCATAATTCATTAAGCCAGAATGAATTAAACATGATCTGTAGATAATATGTAGACTTGTCATTTAACTAATGATTGAGCGTCTCAAAAAACACAGACAACTTTCATTGTAACCAACAGAAAAAGAAAGACATACTTTTTCAGAAATATATAACATACCTTTACCGGTGTGCATATCGATAAATCTATTGTGGTGAAGAATCATCTGAAGAAATATCGTGAAATGAAAATCCTAATGATCGTGCATTAACGACGCATTTACCATTTCCTATATCTCGATTATTAACAGCATTTAATAAATCGTCCGATAGCTTTTTACTTCAGAAACACATCAATCGGTCATTCAATCGAATCAACCACTTTCCAGCTATTTCCTCCATGCCATTCCCTGTGTCTGTAACTGTCAAAAATTGGTCATTCTATCTGGCGGCGAGCATATCCCGATATCCCTGTCCGGCACTGGCGATAATTATCAGTTGCAATTTGTCTGGCACTGTTCTCCGCTCTACTCCACCCACAAACACCGCTCGAATCTCCACTCTTGCGCGCGTTCATCCATTCGGTGTGCCATTATCCCATCTCTCGCCGCGCAACGCCATCCTCTCCCTTCACCCTCCCCCTTCAGGATCGCAGGATCATTTTTTACGCGAGTCGCGTGATTCCATGTTCGCCGCATCTTCGATGCGAGCTGGTTAGAGAGACTCGCGTGAGAAGTAAGTCTCTGCTCGCACACACCTTCGTGCATCGTGCCAGGACACGATCGCTCGCGTGCGCGCGCGTTTAGTTCGACTAACACACTGAATCACAGCAACACACACACAAACAAGGAAACGCACACCTGCTCGCTTACTTATACACGGAGGAACGGAGGCGTATATAACACGGGTCCCGAGTACATAATACACAGCCATATATCCTTCTGTCCCGTAGCTACTCTCCCTCGACCCTGTCGCCTCTCTTCTCGGTTCCTCTCCTCGTTCCTTGGCACACCGGCCCTTCCCGCCCCTC